GTTGTAACTGAACTCGGACGTGCAGAAGCTGCAGCTGAGTGTGATGCAGGGCGAGCAAAACGGTCAGTCCTAGAGCTGGGACCTGCGGATAAAGTATTCAAATTTGGGCGGGGGAGGGTGGAAGACGGAAAACCTGAAAGTATAAGAACGGAGGCGTCGGCAGTACCATGTTTTCGCTTACCCGCCCTGCTGTATGCAGCAAGTAAGCGACCCGGCTGATGGCACCACCCGACGGCCGATGTGGCATGAGAATATTGTTAGTTGTGTAGGTCATGGTTATACAAGGGCTGGGATACTGCCAGGGCGCCCACACCTAGACAGGAGGACGATTAGGGTCCTCAACCAAAGCCTTTGGCTCAAAAACCTAACCGCAAGGCAGCGGTGTTTGGCGGGGAAATGCAAATGCATTACCTTTTCTACGGAACAAGTCGCCATACATGTTCCAACCACCAACCTGGAGGGCCAGGAGACTGTGTTCGTCAGACCTCTAACCATTGACCAACCTGGTATGAGAGACTCTGTGAGTGTCGCGTGGACACCCCCCAGTATGGCTCAATGGGTCGCCGAGGTACACAAACCGCCACACCACGATAAGGTCCAGTCTCTTTGTGACGGTACGCGAGGATGTCGGCGCCGGATGACGCGCATGTGTTGCTCGTTGCCTTAGCGGTAGGCGCTAACAAAACAACTACAGAAACTTGAAGAATCCCTTACCTAAAGACTTTAGAGGTCTCCAACTCTCCAATTTTTAGTACAAATGATCTTTTATCCTTCCTATCTTTTGTGTTTGTCTGCTAGGACCGTATCTTGTTAATTATAAGTCGTTCAGCTGTAGCACCCTTTCGGTGTCTAACTGCCACGCCACCTGAAGGTTGCACGAGGGCTAGGATACTGCCAGGTTGCCCAAGTCTAGAGACTGGGGAAGTCGAGAGGCAGAGGTCGGGTTCGAACCACGGACCTTCCGGTCAGTAAATTCGCTCTCTAACCACTAGTGCCGTCTTGCCCACTATGCCTTAACATCAGTTTCACCTGCCTGGCTCTCTTACCGTTGTTTTTTTATTCTGTTCACTAGTTCAAGCAAGCACAATTTCTACACCATTGTCGACCTTCCTCTTGGTGAACATCAGTACAAGTTTATTGTGGATGGACAGTGGAAGCTGGATCAGAACCAGGTTGGTGCCTTTTTACTCGATTTGTGTATCAGTAATCGACTGTCCATTAGTTAGTCTTCCTCAGCTAAGCAAAGTAGGTTCTATCCTACTAAACAGATAACAAATGCGGTACAATACTTATCACAAGCAGTCGTAACCCAGATCATCATGTAACATAAGATTACGTAGGACTATTTCGTGATCTCAATGGATTTTCATAATTGAACGTCCAGCGTCCTCGTTTCTCGAGGCTGCTTAGTTTTCTTACAGTATGAGCACCTTTACTTAGTACAGTACCGCCTCGAAAAGGCTTAGACAATTCGGTCTTAAAGGAAAGTTGGTCGTGCAGTGTGTAGAAAGACCAACAGCCCAACGCTCTCGACTGCTGCGCACAATCACAGCGGTCATATTAGATAGGGAGTTGTTAGAGAAATCATCGTTGGATGGAGGGATTAGCATACGGGAGGTGTCAATGCGTCTGAGAATTAGGTTTGGATAGCAGAAAATCTTTCCATCAGCATCAAGGGCAGTAAAATAGTGCCATCCTGAAAAAAAATCGTCTAGCTGTAGCACCCTTTCGGTGCCTAAAAGCCATTTCACCCGAAGGTTGCACGAGGGCTGGGATACTGCCAGGTTGCCCAAGCCTAGACAGGGTCACTGAACTATTCGTGATTGTGAGTAAATTTATGCACCTGTGCCCAAGACAGTCCAATGAACTTGTTTGCCTTGTTTGTTAAATAGGCAGTACAGATTGAGACGTTTCCATTCTAAACTATCATTCTTCTCATCATTCAGAAGTAGCCGAGAACAGTTGACCAGTAACTGCCTTGGTGTACTGATTGGCCTTAATTTTTTTGTGAGTTAGCTAACACAGAAACGAAGTTCAAATCTAAACCCATGGTGACTAGCAGCTGCCTTTTTCGTCCTTTTTATCCCATCATACTAAAATAAATCCAGCCATGTGGACCGTCCACAGCACTCTTTTTTGTCATCACAATGTTACTCCTATCCCGTATAGTATGGTCTACTGACTCCGTACTTCATCCGGGGTCGTTTCCTCATATTCGTGCGTTTCAAACATGGTCGACCTTAGAGTTCTTGTATGACACGCCTGACACTCAAATGGAAATCGGGGGACTTGTTTTCTACTGGAGCTGGCTGCCATCCAGGTTATTTACGAGCTTCCACAGCATCATCTTTACATTCCCACACAGGGTTCATGGTCAATTCTTCGGTTTCCTTGTTACTCCGGAAGGCTTGGTCGGAAGACTTCGCTTCGTTACGTCAGTAATGCACACCGACGCTTAACTGCCATACAACCATGGGGAAATAAGGTTTCAGTAAAGAGTGGAAAGAAAAGATAAGGGTAGGGACAGAGTTCAGTGAAGCCTATCGTCCTTCAGAAAAACGATCAAGATGCCTAAACATTTGGGCAACACTGAAATAAATACATTTGAGCATTTTGTTTTTTGGGGGGGAATTGATCCAGCCTCCTTTGCGAACCTCACGTGACGTAAGCCCAGCTCAGAACGACAGGCGACCTTCAGCTGAACAAGTTGTAGTGCCTCAGCTCAATTTTCGGTCTTGGCGTTCTCAGCAGCAGAACCACTAAATCAAATAAACCATGTACAGCATATTGTCTGGAAACTCACACGCTGGCCGTTTCAAATGCAATCTAGTTAGCTCACGGAGATTCGTTGGTCCTTTTTTGCGGATTAGCTGGAACAGCTTCCGTGTATTCCGCGCCGCATTGGCTTCTTCCACTTATTGAGCTTTCTGGTTCCATCGACGCTTCTGTGTCGGCACACAGACCATGTTTGAGCTATCGTTCAATCCATCTTCTAGCCGAATGGTACTTTGAGCCCGAGACAATAAAGCGCATCACATCATGGAGTGATAATTGCCGTTTTGAGATTCAATAGTTTCCGCGGAAACTAGACTTAGCCGTGGACAGCTCATCTCAGTTACAATCAGTGTTCTGCAAGGTGAACATGGGGCTGGTCAGTTTTCGAATAACAAATCAGGGCTACAGTCTCCCGGTGGATAAATGGACGCGACAAGCACAGAGTATTCATTGTTCAAACCAGCGCGAGTTTTGCCGGAGCACAGAGTCGGTTGAAATCACAGCTCGCGAACTCTGGGGTATACCGAAACCGGTGGAACCCTCTGCAGTAAGATCACTCGAAGTTCGGGGTCTGTTACCTCTAGATAGAGAGGGTCTTGGAATCTCAACAGCCGTGCATAAATCCTGAGTGGAGTATGCGCAAGAACAGCTTGTTCACCGATCTGCCTAGCAGTTCTGACGTTGGAGACTGTCGTGAAAAGAGGAGAACGATGCCCTAATAGCTGACATGGAGCGGAGCATACGAGAGATAGCGTGCTGTGTCGGTTTTACCCTGATCAACGTGCCTACAACTGGCATCCACGGGAGAGTAGTTTTTAAGAGGTATTGGAGGTAGGTTGAGAGATAATAGTTAAAAAGGATCGGAGGCGTTTGCAGTCTTATGTCCGCCTTGTTATATGCATCCAATAAGGCCACCTGGCTACATCACCACGTGACCCTCGATGTGACATAGTGGCACTCTTATCTGTAAAGTTCATTGTTGTGCGCAAACTGAGGTATTTCCAGGGTTTCCAACCCATGCATCAGGACAGGTAGAATCTCCATTTAAAGTCTTCAGTCCGAAAGCCTGATCGCAAGGCAGCAGTGGTTGGCGTCAGACTACTGTCTAGTTCAAATTTTAAAGAACAACTTGTTACTCGTTATGCACCACTCATAAGGTTGCTGGAAATTCGTCGACAGCCCACGACCGGTTTCGCCCTTCTTGGGCACAGTCCCCGAGTTACCGTCAACCTTATGTTCTACTGGAAACCAAATTGCACGAAATTAGCGAAATACACTTATTTGCAAACTAATTTGGTGTTTCGAGGGACTCACCTGGAAGCCAGCTGAATCTCTCGTATGTGATGTTTCCAGGCAACTAAATGTGCGAAACCGGTCGTGGGCTTTCGAAGGATTTTCAGCAACCTTATGAGTAGTGCATTACAAATATACATGTATCGCGATATCTCGAATATCGTAGTGAGTGAAACAGGAAGCGGCCTGGTGCAGCATATTCAGTTACCTGGAAACATCAAAACCGAGAGATCCAGCTGGAATCCAGGTGAGTCTCTCGAAAAACCAAATTGGTCTGCAAATGAGTGTCTTTCGCTAACAACTTGTTGCATTTGTTTGAGCCTCCAAGCTGAAAGGCCGAGAGACTGTTTGTTAGATTCTATTCAGGGACCAGACTGTGGATGTTAGTTTGACATCCTCCAGTACGGCTCAATCGGATTTGAGGTACACAAGCCGTCGTACCACAATAAGATCTAGTCTCTTCGTGACGGCTATCCAATGACGAGAATTCTCATGCTGTAGTTCACACTGCATAGGTTGCGCTGGCTTGTCACGTGTTGCGTATGCCAGTCGACCGACTTCCTCGAAGAGCTCTTTTCGCACAACCACGTGAAGGGTGGAAGAGAGCCAGAGGCGGTCAAACAGTGACTTGACAGCGAAGTATGAAAGCAATTACCAGCAAACTCAGCTGCGCTGGTCACTGCCGTCTTCCTGGATGGGGACCCCGAGACGGGCCACATCAATGGCTAGAGACATTGTCAGATATGGCCCAGTCGCACCCTCAATGGCGCTCGTACATCCAAGCTATTACCTTCAATGCATAGCTCCTTTTCCAACCCCCCTTACAACTGACAATGATGATGATTACCTAACGTAAGCCAACTGTTGTTCCACTAATTCCTCAAGCATAGCCCGTCAGTGATGGCTAGTCACAAACGGGAACCGTTCGGTTTTGGTCTTGCGGATTACACCATCGCGCTTGTTGAGTAGAGCTCATGGAGACTCACTGTAAAGATCATTGAAACAGCCTCAGTGGTGCTTCGCACTCTACATACGCCCAACACGACGTCTTAGAAGTTTTGTGTGCGAGATTTTGTGTGCCGAGATTGATTATAAATTCAATAGACATTCGCTTGAATGGTAGGCAAGTAATCAGTAAAAACCCTGTTAACGCTCCGCACACGTCATTTGAATACCAAGTGAACATTCCAACTTTGGTGAACTCTCTGTATCCACACAAACCTTCGTATCCGGATAACTATTCGGCAGGTAGAAAAAAATTGTCTCATCAAGTGACTAAGGTCGTACGCAAAAATCCACACGTTTGACTCGTGGATGATCCGAAAAAGTAATAATCGACCGATCCTGGACCATATCATAACGTTACCAATCGATGCAACACAACGTGAGCTACTGTTTGTGTTGAATTCCGTTTTTAACGTATCAAGTCAGTGTGAAACACTTCAACTGTTGTCGATGAGCACCAGAAATGATCGAATAACGAAGTAACCAAATATGGATGCATAGGTGAGTGTTTTAGACTAAGAAGTGATCAATAACATCAACGAACCTTGGATCTTCGAACACCTAACTGTTTGGCTACCAGCGACTGATTGGCACTATGGTTAGCCCTCAGCCAAACAGAGTGATACGGCTGCACAGTGCTTCTCGGCCTTGCGCCTTAAGTTGGTGCTTCAGTGATACGACGAAATCTCCCCACCGCTGTGGTTTCTCTGACATATACTAACATATACTCTCAGGTGAGATGCAGTACGAACGTAGTAGTCGAGCTGACGTATTGGATAGCGCGCTCGTCTCCCATCTGAGGGGTTCAGAGTTCGACCCCAGGGTGACCTGTTCTTCCGTCAAAACTTTTAGATAGATAGAGTTGACATGAAATTGCGAGCGAACACTGACAGGCGAGCACATCTCGATATTAGTGACTGAGCGAACCATGAGTGAGAGCAAGACCCCAGTAAACCGGCGGCAGGGAAGCAAAACAGTATTTCAGTAAACAGGCGTAGGTCGTGCTACTCATGAGTAGTCAAACGGGAAAAATAATCATTGCTTCCCCATTATCCACAGGAAGAACCAACAAAATCGTAAACGAGAAGTTCGGCTGGGATTCGCATGTGTATCCCGTAAAAACTGAATTAGTTTTAAAATTCGCACAATCCACGAACATCCAGTCTTCCTCAGAGAATTCCTATACAATCTGTCCCATGGATGCTCTCCCAAAGGGGAACCACTGTACCTGTGTGTATCGGCATCCAGTATTCCTACTTTGTTTAGTCCTTTCAAGGCTTGGAAAGCGGAACAAGCGATCAAATGAAATTAGGAATAGGCTATTCTGCCCTTATGCGATTCACATCACTTCCTTGTGATTTCAGAGACTTGCTGAGGTAACAGATGAGTTGAGAAGTCTGACAATTACTCTCATTTGCATACGAATTTGGTTTTGGCAGGAGTCCCAGCTGAATCTCTCGTTTATGATATTCAATATCAACTCAATCTACTGCCTCAAGCCGCCTCACGTTTTAGTTTGTGCGACGTTCGAGATATCGCAGTACGTTGTTGCCAGACTGAAAACTCTTCGACAGTCCAGGACCTCTTTCGCCCTTTTCGGGACGCCAACGAAAGCAATAAGCAGATATTTGGGTCTCAGTGGTAATATTGGAACCACGTGAACAGTATTCTCCGTCAGGTATGGTGGACGGACTGTTACCAATGCACCACGAATTTGGACAGCTTATTTAGACTTCACAGTGACCTGAGAGAGAGTACACCAATAAATGTTGTGTAGAATAACGATACAGAACTTTGGGGGAGATCTTTCCAACGTGTCCAATCCTCAGAGGAGTTCATACCATCATGGTATATGTGTACTTAACTATAGGTAGTGCACACTTGTTGATATAACTGGGCTGACAATAGGTGATCTATTTTCGAGTTGTTTACCCTACATCATCATCAACAGCATGACATCAGTGTTCATTACCGATACTTCGCTGCCGTACAACCTGGTCCTCCAGGTTGGGGGCTGGAACATGTGTGGTGACTTATTCCGTAGAATTGGTAATGTATTTGCATTTCCCACCAAACACTGCTGACTTGCGGTTATGTTTTTGAATCAAAGGCTTTGGTTGTGAACCCTAATCGTCCTCCTGTCTATGTTTGGGCGCCATGACAGTATCGCAGCCCATGTACAACGTACGCGTAACTACCCAGTATGACACAGTACTCATTAGTTTGCTGCAAACTCTTCGACAGCCCACGGCCGGTTTTGCTGCTCTTGGGGTTCATCAGTCCCAAAGTTCCTTTCTCCTTGAACCCAAACTGGAAAGGTTTCCGTGAATACTCATCTGCACACGAATTTGGCGTTGACAGGAGACTCAGCCGAACCCATCTTAATCTCCCGTTTATGGTGGTTCACTTCAACTGAAGTGAATGTAATGCTGTCATGTCTCCATCGACATGTGGTTCTTGTGTCCTATGAAAGATGACTGGTAAGCAGCCATCCCTTTCGAATATTCTGTCAAAGCACACTATTCGTCAAGTTTTAAGGAGTCTCTTTAGACTGTGAAGTACCCTACCACAGTTGGCAAGAGTTCTGAACTTCATTCTGCCAATCCGAACTTATTGCTTTCGATGTGTGTAAAGCAGTTATGTCACGGGGACTGGTGTTGTTTGATACCTTTCTGGAGGAGTTTACGTATCGTCTCTTGTCTGTAGTAGGGAACCGTGGTTCTTTTCACTATTATTGATCAGTTGTGTGTTTGTACTCGAGATAAACTCTTTCATCGCATACGGTCTATCCCCGCGATTCCTCCCTTATCTTTTGTAATTCAATGTTGGACGTCCCTTCTTCTCGCCATTCCAGCCAGTGATGGCAAGCGCTACTGGAATCCAAAATAACGTCATCCAGGTGCGCGAGTCTGACTTTGACGTACTCACTGCATTATCCTACGACATGGCCAGCTCTCGTGGAGGGACTGGTGGTGATGAATCTACAAATACCATGGGCTCAACGGCCACATCAGGCACTCCTCAGCGGGGCGAGACTGGGACCCACCATGAAGTTGGTCCTGTCGATTCCGATAGCTTCTTGATGGGTGGTAGCTCTCCGCCGGGTGACTATGGTCGCTTTATTCCGCCAAACCTCTCGGCAGCGGTGCAAGCTAGCACTGGTCCAACGCACCATAGCCCCCACTCCTCAAGTGACCCAAAGAAAATGCCCACTCCTCCACTGTTGCCTCCTCAACTGTTGCAGGTACGCTCAATCTTTCAACCCATTTCGTAGTGGGACTTTCTTTCATCTCCCCATTTTGTAGTTGCTATTCAGCGTTCTGAATGACAGCTCGCGAATAATAGGTGTTTTACTCGGATCCATCTCTTTCAGAGTATTCCACACTCACTGCTTTCCACGCCCACACTGCCAGGTCCGTGGTTAGGCTTACGTGCTCAACCGCGACACCTGTTCTGATCTTCCAGTGTTTGTGTGAATTAGATCGCTCAACAACTTGATCTTTCCATTTTATCCTAGAACCATTTTTCCCTAATCGTTCAATGTAGATTATTGTCGGTACTGAGTGGGTGAGGTTACTCCTTCCATAGATTCTGCTGTGTAGCTTGCACTGCCGTTCTGTGGAGAGGAGGAAAGCTCTTTGCCGCAGTTCTTTATTAGAAAACATCAACTAAACAGTTACAGACTATTGGACAGGAAAGAAAACAAATATCCGTCTTCTTCTTGGACGCGTCTTCCTGAACTTCCCCGGACATTCATTTACTGTCACGTAGTTGTAGACGAATGCTTCAAAATAGTCCACAAATTCCGTAATAAATTCTACCTTCCATTAGATCAAGGGGGAGTTACGAGAAGACCACATACTACTCGCATGCCTTGTTAGTAGTATCGACCGTTACACACCTCCTTTAAAGGTCGCTTGCAAGTCCATTTACCTCCGTCAGGTCAACCCCAGCGGGTGGTCTATTCAGCAGCTGAGGCGAAAGGTACCAAGTGGTTAGAGCGCGAATTTACTGACCGGAGGGTTCGTGGTTCGAAACCGACCTCTGCCTCTCGACTTCCCCTGTCTAAGTTTGGGCAACTTGACAGCATCCCAGCCCTCGTGCTTCCTTCGTGTGGCAGGTAACTAGGCACCGAAAGGATGTTACCGCTGAACGATATTCGACAGTTCTTCAGGTGTATCATGTCACTTCCGAAGCTGAGGAGAATGGTGCTGAGGTCGAAACTGGATTAAATGATTCGTGCCACTTGGCATGGTATGCAGAGTCCGACCTGAAGCCTAGTCAATGTGAAATTTATCGACTAATTCATGACAGTTATTGGAAAATCTCCTAATACCTGCATTCATTACTGATCACATCGTCCTCTGAATTTCCTGGTGTATGCCAGACTGTACAGAACATCGAGTTGGGGAAGCAACCAAGTCATCATTGACACGTAGCATTCCATCAGAATGAATTTAGATACCACCTCGTCTCTCATCAACTTCGGTAAAACTTCCTTTGGTAACAGATGACCATGCATTCAACACGATGTGACCTTTGGGTCTCACGTCAAAGATGTCTTTGTTTTAAACACCAGTTGAGCACCCTATTGACGAAATCTGCTTGAAAAAGTTCCTTCTCTCGCCTTTACACGATTCTTTAAATTCACTCAGAAGTGATCGTCTTAGAAACTGGTTTCTGGGAGTTATACATGTAGTACTGGTCAGTAATAATTTTGAATTTATTGATGTGAAGGTATTCGACTGTCCAGAATAGCTCCAAGGTTTCTTCCTGAGCTTGTGAATACCTGCGTTCTTCTTAACTGAGAACCGTGATACGCATACGACTGAACTTGATCCATTCTTCCGAGAAGTTTGGTAACAATCAATAGATTTATTGCTGGGCAACGTTTCGCTTTTGACACAAAAGCTTCGTCAGGCCAAGTGACTAGGTTCCGAGGTTGGTCGAGATTTAAGGCGGCAGGAGAACCAATCAGCTAAGTCAAGCTAAATCTCTGTAGGGTGTCGGCCGAGGGATTTTTGCTTGTTAGGGTCGGTGACCAAGTGTTAGGTCGAGGGGGGCAACCTACATGAATTTGGGTCCAGTCTAGTTCTTCTGGTTCAGTTCACATGATGATCCCTCTTGAACGTCGTTTGCACTTTCCGTCCGTCTGTGTGGATGAGCTAGTGCCACGATAACTGTGCAAGGGGGATGCCGTGACCTTTGGTCGGGTTGGGATTTACACCTCCCTGTTTTTTTAATGATTTTACATGAACTGACAACCACACACACAGTCACGTGTCAATTCGGCTTATCTAAGACCGCTTTCCATGCGCTCGCCAGTTCCAAACCCTCGATTCTGTTCACGCTGTGATGCTTTGTGATTTCCACCGCCTCGGCTATCAGCCGCTGTGATGTGAATCGCAGTCCCTGTCTTCAAATCCGTGTCTAAGACATGTACCGCCATCGCTGAGTCTTTGACCGGCGTTTGGTACTCCTCTGCATTCTTTGGTGCTCTGTTCATCCTCCTCTTATGCTCACTAATTATGGTCTGTAATACCCTGGCAGTTTGTCCTATGTAAATTTTAGTGCAGTCGTTGAAGTTGATTTTATACACACAGTCCCTAGTCCTTTCAACCGCATCAAAACTGAGCGTAGCGTTGTTTCCTTCTGGAGAACTACTCGAATGTTGGCTAAGTTCAACCGTCTTCAAATAACCTCCAATGTTTCTGCTTTATATGGAATGACTGTTGTGCCAATCCATTCCTTACTGGGTCTAGATACCGGAACCAATATCGTTCTTAGTTGACGCCTAATCAAACTCACCGGGTATCTTATTTCTTGAAGTCTCTTGGTAATCTCGATTTGAGCTGCCTTGCAGTCGATCTCTTCTGTACACTAGTGATCTGTCATTCAAGGCTTGCCAGATAAAGGAATTGGGGGCGACATGGCCCAAGTGGTTACTGACTGGAAGGTCCATGGTTCGAACCCGTCCTCTGCCTCTCGACTACCCCTGTCTAGGCTTGGGCAACCTGGCAATATCCCAGCCCTCGTGCTTCCTTCGTGTGGCATGGCAGCTAGGCACCGGGAGGGTGCTACAGCTGAACAATTATTATTGTATTATTATAGCTAAAGGAATTTCAGCCTGAAGATGCATAGTCAGGTCCCGGCGACAGTTTGCCTAGGCACGTTCAAGCAGTAGTTACCCCTGACTTTCAAAGTTCATCAACTTGCATTCTCCGTGGCCGAATACTCTTCGTCAAGACACAGACATCTTACAAGTCAAGTGTCGAAGTTTTTCACATGTCAGTCTATCCCTTATTCGCCACGTCCGTTGGCTCATTCTGTTGTACAATGATTTAGTGTGGTTTCCAGGGGTGCTTAGAGCTTAGAACTTCCGTTTCGCTGTTGCGCATGGGGACGCAACTCTACGTCCTCCAAATAATGGTTCCTTTCGTGATAGTTGATTGACTCACGTGCTGATTGAGTACCTACTGTTGAATTAGCCTCCCCCTTTAATCGCAATCAAATTTGACAGCTGAGTTGATATTATCATGTCAGGAGACTTGTGGTACGATAAGGTTACTTATCACCAGTGCCTTGGCTCCATTCATGTGCACCCGACTCAGGAATGGTAACCATTTGTGATCCGCTTGGATCGTGACAACGGCGCTGTGGTATAAACAAATGAGAGAGAGAGAGAGAGATAGTATAGCATAGCTTTAAGAACGCTTTGAAGTTCGGGACTGATCTGAATGTGCATTTTTTCCAATCCGCAGCGTGGGAGGACTTTTTGGTTGCATGTGTGTTTAATCTTTACGTGCCTCAGCTGTCAGATCTTTGAGTTGGGTATATGTGATGTTCATTCAGTCATCAAGAAATCACAGCATAATGGGCACATCGAGAAGATACTGACCAGGAGGGGGCGAGGTGGCCCAAGTGGTTAGAGCGCAAATTTGCTGAGCGGAAGGCCCGTGGTTCGAACCGGACTTTTGCCTCTCGACTTCTCCTGTCTAGACTTGGGCAACCTGGTAGTATCCCAGGCCCCGTGCTTCCTTCGGGTGGCATGGCAGCTAGTTGCCGAATGGGTGTCAGAGCTGGAAAGTCCGCGGTTTGAACCCAACCTTAACGTCAACTGCTCGTGCATAGTCTTGGGCACCCCGGTGGTATCTCAGCCGTCTGGATTCATTCAGATGGCATAGCAGCTTGGCACCAAAAGGGTTTTGTACCTGAACGGTCATTATCGTTCCATTGCAAACAACACTTGTGTTTTGTACTGTGAACTAGGTTATCACTCTGTGACAATTCTGGAGGTCTCCTGTGGTTAACAAACAGTTTTTAACCAGTGCTTGTGGTAGAACACTTCCTTCCTACGTTGAAGGAAATTTTCAAACAATAAAGGTTGCCTCTTCTTCGTCTCCTGGATCCACTCAACGAACTATGGACCCTCATTTCTTAAGGTACAGCTGCAACGCAGCCATTTAAAGTAACCTGTACTAAGAACACTTCAGTCGAGAAGGTGCACAATGCTCGAGGTAACTTGTGTCGTAGTTCTCAAGTATCCTTGCACTATTAATCTGTCGCCAAGGTCGGATTTCATCGTGATATATGATGCTTTTATTGATTTTATTTCATTAGCGCTCTCACTGTCCCTCATTGCAGGGAATAGCAGCTTGGTCTTCAACAAGACGCAGGGCTAAAAAGCAGAAGCTCATATGGGAGATGGGTGTAACTATGCGAAAGTGTGCGTACAAGCATGCCGTCATCATCACTAGCTTCTCTATTGACAACAACATCAGTCGCAAAACACACTGGTGCTCAACTGCCATCTAGCCATGTCAGTTTAAGTAAGACTCTCAACCAGTAATTTAATAATAGTAACAATATAATATGATGATAATCATATGGGGAAAGTAGGGAGAGCCCACTGCTAGTCTATCACAAACATCTGAGGTGTCTACACCCCGTACATTCACCCACACTCCCTGGATAGGGACAGACGGTAGCGGGACCATTGGCAGCAACGTCTCCAGCCAACCAGGCACGATAGCATGAACCCCATCCTGGGAGAGGGATGCCGTAGTTTCCCAATCGCTTTGTCGCTTTGTATTTGGCCTATCTCTGTGTGAAGAATGCCAAAGAACGACTTACGTCAATGGAGGTAGACAAGAGGAAGTTTCTCTGGTCAACCCTAGTGAAGGGAGGCTTGACTACCAATATGGACCTCACTACCCAAGTTTCTTTATTGCTCCTGAACTGGTTGTTTGTGAACTAGAAAATTTATCTTTCATCCTCGGATACGATGGGGGGGGGGGGATGGCAATTTACTGACAGAAGGTGCGTGGGTCCAAACTGACCTCTGCCACTCGACTTCCCCCGGCCTAGGCTTGTGCAACCTGACAGTATCCCAGCCCTCGTGCCTCCTTCGTGCGGCATGGTAGGTAGGCACCGGAAAGGTGTTACAGCTGAATGGTTTTTTTCCTCGGATACGCTGGAATCTCGAGATGGCGGTACTTAAAAGATACTGACAGCCACACCAGATGAGAGTTGTTCGGAACCTCTCCGATAATTGTGAACTCTAACTATCTCTACCCGTCCTTCACCTCTCCCGTTCCTGGCTTTGTAGATGACACCAGTCTATACTCTACTCCATTCCAACTGTGTGACCGTCGGGCACATGCTAGTGTGGAGCGCCAGTATTTCTGACCTTCTCGACTAGTCCTCTTATCCAACTTATCTACTCCCCATTCCTCGTCGTCCATTTTTCTTGCCCTGTCTTTTACTGACACCTTATTCAAAGTGATGCGATGTGGGTATCCGTAATGGTTGGTGTCTTGTTCCGGGCGCGCATGTACTTCACCCGTAGTCCAATTCTCCTCTGTGGATCCCAAACTCACTCTGGAATAATGCTGCCATGTTTGGAATTGGACCCCTTTGTCTTGCTAATCTTCCTTTGACTACCTTCATTGTAAAGTCATATGTCTCATCGTTGCTCCTTTACTGACTGACATCCTACAAACACTTTCCGATTGTCAGGAATTAACGCCGCTTGCTCTACTTCACCGTTACTGCCTCATCAGAATTTGCTTATTCGGTATCTTTCAGTCGTCTTTGCTCGATCTATCCCCATCTGTTTTTCCAAAAACATTGCGTCTTTTTGGCTCCGTCTTGTAAGCTCCAAGCATCTGAAAGCCGAGTAAAAACATAAAGTAGTAGTCATTCAGCTGTAATATTTTTTCTCGATGCCTAGTCGCAATGAGATCCAAAGGGGGAACGAGGGTTGATAAGCCTCCAGGTTGCTGAAGCCTACACAGGAACAGTCAAGACACTGGGGTTGGATTCGAACCACTAACGTTCTGGTCATCAAGTTCGCGCTCTAACTACTGAGCTGTCTCAACCTCAGAGAGCCGAATCGACATTCACCTCAGTCAGTCGTGAGGTTTGTATTATAACATGCCTTCTATCTACCATCTTCTGTCGACGTCTCCCTTCCTTTGTGATCCAATAAGAAACAACGTACATGAATCCAACTCATCGTACCGGTGAAAGGAAAAAGGCCTTCGCTGCGGAGTTTTTGATGCCAACTGAACAGTTACAGACTATTGGACAGGGAAGCAAAACTCTCATATGCATCTTGGTTACAAAGACTGAATATCCATCTTCTCCTTGCACGCGTCTTCCTGAACTTTCCTGGATATTCACTGACTGTTGCTCAAATCCAAGCAAATGCTACAAATCGACTCCACAAATTCCGTAGTAGATCTCGCTTTTCAAGAGACGCGAAGCGGATTTAAGAGAAAAAATGCTACTCGCATGCCTCCCTCGCAAGTAGTATCGCCGTTACACCGGTAGAACCAAGAGCCCGCATCCTTCACATTCTTGCTGGGGGTTTGATCTCGCCTTCAAGAGACGCGAAGCGGATTTAAGAGAAAAAATGCTACTCGCATGCCTCCCTCGCAAGTAGTATCGCCGTTACACCGGTAGAACCAAGAGCCCGCATCCTTCACATTCTTGCTGGGGGTTTCCCTAACCTGGTCAGCCTCGATCTGTCTCTGAATTGTTAACAGGTAGTTTTCATCAGAAATAGCCTCTCCTGGTCTGTGTTACTTTGATTCTCGTCCGCTCCTTTGAATGATGAAATGAACACAGTTAATTCCTCTGTTTCTATAAAATAACATGCTTTTGATAAACTCTATCCGCTCTGTATTCTAGATCGGTTATAGTGTGTGCACGTCGCTGCTACGAGAACGAGGGTGAACTACCTTTTCGTGAATAAACGACTTTTCAGTAGTTTATGTATCTCAGTGCGTCCACTAAAGTTTTTTCTTAACTTTGATGGTCTGTGCACTTTCAGCTTGTGTGTTTGCTTGCACCAGACTACGATATCCCCTCACTTGATCGACACCGATGACTTCTGGACTCCGAGTGACTTTTTTCCCTAATTTCAGGTTATCCTAAATCGTGACACAAACGTACAATGTGACCCCAACTTGCTCCCCCAACCAGATCACGTGATGGTGAACCACATGTACGCCCTTTCGATCAAAGTGAGTGTACACTGGGTTTAATTTTTTTGTTTTCTCTATCCTTTGTCTGTCCTCTGGCCAGTTTCCATGCATGTGGGTAGATACTGAAGGAACTACTTCGTTGCATTTCGGTCGGTAAAGTTCATTGGGATGAGGTATACGTTGGTGAGATTTTTTATAGGCAGTCTTATATAGGACCAGTCTTTCAAGGACGTTGAATGATCCAGTTTCCGTTTCTTCTTCGTGCTTCTGATGTGATTTTACGTCCCGGGATGTCTTGCAGTTCATTGCCGAACGCAACACGGTGCAGGGTACTTCTGGGACCGGTCTTAGCAATAAGCATCGATATCTTTTGCGTTCGTTACGTCCATTGGGTTATAAACAACACGATGCTGCCCTTAAAAAAAGTGTCTTCACAGGGAGGCGAAATCATTCTGTCTTAACATTACATGACTCAGTTAGAACGGCATTCAAGGTATCAAAGTGATGTTCTTGATATGACACTACTTACCTATACTCGTGAAAGCTGTACAACGAAGTTTGATAGCCATAGAGAGGTTTGCGCCCTTAGAAAGCGCAATTTCGCGCGTGAATCGGTCTGCTACTGATCACTAACCCGAACGAGATCCTCGGGCGAACCAAAAAAGGCAGCCTAATCATTACGACAATGTGGTGCCTAGTATCATTCCTAATCCCCCTCACGCTTCAGTGTAATACCGCACTCCCCCTTCACAATACCATATTAGTTCACTGTTGATGTCAAAAAAAGGAACTTATCGTCTGTGAGTCCCTTGGTGAATGTCCGGACGGCGGGAACGTGTTTTCTTCGCAGTACGACTGCTACACGTGCTCCGTAACTGTCCGTGGACTGTGGAGAGTGGTTGACTTCCTGCTCCCTGCGCGCGCGCGAGTCTGTGTGCTGACTGTGTTCAGTTTCCCTGTATGTAGGTCCGTTTGCGTGTACATGGGGGCGTCAGCTCATGAGTAGTTGCTACGCTGACTAGAGGCTACCGACAATCGATGTCCGATGCGTCATCTTAATGTGACGTGATTTGTGAGTACGGAAAAAAGACAAGCCTCGTGATCCAGTGAGCGACTGTGAGCTGAAAAGTCGAGTGTGTGGGTGACCGGGTGGCTACAACCACACCATATTGATTGCGAGCTATCGAGGACAGGCCGGTTTGGGCGGCTGCCACAACGCGGTAGTCTCTGTGCCGTAGTTTCCCCTTCTTCAACTGCCCCTATAATGGTTGTTTTGGGATTTGGTCTCTGCGCTTCGCATTACTTTATCAACGTGGCTCGCTCTCACTCTTCTGAAGAACCTCACTATTTGGAATCCGCCGCCCTCACAAATGTATGGCCATAGTTTCTCGCAGATGCTACAGTTGGAATTGGTCGAGGATTGTTGTACCGTCCATACCTCGCTGTCGTATAGACGATACGATAGCACGCCGTGCAGTGCTTTCTATTTTATATGGACCTTTTTCCAATGCAACACCAACCTTCGATATTCACAATTTCAGCCCCCCAGTGGCTTGATGGTGGGACTGCTGCTGACGCTATCCCACTACCACTCATCTCTCGAGGCTTTCGTTGGCGGAAATTTCGCATTCGCGCAAACCTAATGCGAATGTTGTCAGACGCCGTTGTGTGAGAACAAGACACAATTATCATCATTTAGAGACAACATACGGGCCTTCGAAAAGTGTAGCTAGGAGGCGTTGTGAACAGGATAGGTGCTCATCTAGACTAGACTGATTAGTTACCTTGCCTGAATTTTGAAATGCCGATTGAAGTTGACGTCATAACGCAGTCTTCATCCACCCTTCTCGTTATGTTGGAGTTTTCTGACGCAGTCCCGGAAGCCCACGTGCCAAGGTGAAGAGGTTTGGCAACATTGATAGCTTCTTCATATCAGCCCGTCATCCGGAGAACGATCCACAGTCGACGGAATACACCCGTTTTGGAGTAACGTGAGACCGAACAAAGTAATTGCCATGATATTTGTCCGGAGGCCAGCTGTCCCTAATAACGGAACATCACATCATTCGGACGGATGTGCCACGTGCAGGACACGTACCAGACGAAGGCGTACCCTGATTGGCCAGAATACCAGCCAATCCGGATCGAGCATCTTTGACTCGTCTCTTCTCGCCCCCTCACGGAGATTCTGGCACGACCTTGTGGACAGTACCCAGTACACGTGTAGTTTTCACCAATCTTGTGAGTAGCGTGCAAGGTCGAGAACGTCCACAGTGTTTCTCTAATAATCGATTCAAGCCAACCAGCAGGACATACAACAGCTGACAGCTCGCTTCGAATGGCACTACTTCGAACGTGGAACTAGGTGTACCCAAAGAAATGCAGATGCTGTTGGGAGGCCCTGAAATCAGCGAATACCCGGCTGCCAAAACTATATGAACGCAAGCAGATAAGGAAGAGGCATCCGCGCAACAATGAACTGACAATGTCTCCGTGATTGGTGGCGAGGCATGTGCAAGCAAACTGCCAAGCTAGGTGAACAGGTGGACGGCTACCTGATCTATCTTTTGGAATTCTGCTTTCGCTTGTAGCATTTCACAAGAGATTCTTCGATTTATTCATCCGCCAGCGACACTTCCAGTGCGGAAATCGGTTGTCCAGACTTGTTAGCATTCGATTAGCAACGGATGATTCGTGTAACCAGCAAATTACAACGAAATCCTCTCTTCGCTCTGACGGGAGCATTTTTTTCGGTGGACTCATGAAGCTGTTCGATACCACGAAATTTGGAGGTGATCAGCCACCTACTGCGTGGACAGTACTTGAACATCTGATTATCTTACCAGAAAGCATCCTGTAACTCTGTTCTTCATGCCTGAACAACCTCTGTCTGTCAAACGGGATGGAACCGCCATCTAATACGTCGATTGAAGGGCACAGTCAGTTAGGTATCTGATCCGTGACTTCCTGACGGCCCATGTGACTGTACTGGTAACATCAAGATAGAGGCTAGAGTCACATTAACATAGCAACAGAGAAGAAACCGGTTCCATTTCCAACCGCGGAACCTAGGAACCGTTTTCATTCGGCATCGTAGATTTCGCGTGTGAAATGGTTGATGTCAATACGAGCAGGTGGATGATGAGTGGTAATCGGGCAGTTTTCCATCTTGCACATAGGAGCAAAACTAGTCTGAAAATTAGATAGCAAGTGCTCACTCACGTGAAACACGTGATATGTCACACTTGTTAAAAATCTTCCTACCTTCCATCCAACCCAATGGAATTCGTCTGAGTAGCGTTTTTATCATATCGAGATTTGTCCGTATGAAAAACTAACCTTTTCTGATGATGTGCTCTTTTCTCCACGTTTTTTACCCAACACTTCCCTCGCAGGATGGCGTCATTGTACTGTCGGCCATCACACGCTACCGCCAAAAGTTCGTCTCTACCGTACTGTACAAACCAATCTGATCAATACTCACTCACTTCGGATTTTGCACAGCCTTCCTCGCTCCTATTCATCGCGCCACACACAAGTTTATCACCATCCGCTGTTCCACGCAACACTCACTCATCTCTTGTCCCCCCCCCGCCTCCATGTTAACTTGTTTCAACTGGCTTAACTACTATTTTTAAGGTGCCATTGCACTGTCGTGCTCTTTTCTCGCTATGTCAGGGCCACTTGATTGTCACCTGCCTTCTCTCTATCCTTCTGCCCAACCTGTATCCAGAGTTGTGTCCAATATGTGGCTGGATCGCTTCATCGTTCACATACGCTGTCACCACCTCATTCTGCTGCTGGTGGTGGGGGTTCTAGCGAGTCGATACTAGACCTAGTTTATTCCTTTCTTATTTTTTTTAAACAGTATTAGTGATTTGTCCCCGCAATAGCCGCGTTACTTGTTGTTATATTTCTCTATTATTTGTTGCCTTCCTCCTCATCACCTCTTGATTGGATTAGGTGCTCTGGTGGACGCCAAAACCCGCACTCACGTTCAAATAAATTGTTCAAAATTTTGTGGGCATCGCCACACGGATGTCACGTAGTTTCCATAGCAAGAGGATCGTTTTTGAGCGGTTGACGAGAAAGTTCGGTACTTTCACCGCTTCACCACCTATCTCAAACGAAGCAGGTAACGATGGGGGGGGTTCGTTTTATTCCTTACGCGCATACTGTAGCGGCCGTAGGGCTTTCCTCAGAGCCAGGTACTGAGATCGAACAATATCCTAGAGGATGAGATGTGAGCCAACAGTTGCTTGTTTCGAGTTCATCTTTGGCGTATCCGTTGCTCGCGGTTAGGCCTGCGGAATATAGCGGTTCTCCTGGAATGAACACCATTGGAGAATGAGCTACTTGGCCCATCTCAAGGCCAAGTAGTATGGATTCTTTTCCTCTACACAGACGTGCTCTGTAGTTCGTCATTGTACTATGACCTGCCGTGACTCAGATGGCTATCGCGGTTGGGAAGCGGTGGGGATGATGAGCTGGTAGTGCTTGTTACTGATGTGCTCCTCCAACCATACCCCCTGGTCGCGATATCTCGAATATCGTAGCGATTGAAACATGAAGCGGCCTGGTGCAGCACATTCAGTTGCCTGGAAACAGCAAAACCGAGAGATTCAGCCGCGTTCCAGGTGAGTCTCTGGAAAAACCAAATTAGTTTGCAAATGAGTGTATATTCGCTAATTTCGTGCAATTCGGTTTCAAGTAGAACATAAGGTTAACCGAAACCCGGGGATTGCGCTTACCTGATGAGCCCCAAAAAGGGCGAAACCGATCGTGGTCTGTCGACGAATTTCCAGCGACCTTATGAGTAGTGCAATACAAAATAGATACGTACCCCTGGTCCTCTGTCTGTCGCATTGTCCGAACACGTGATGTATCGATCACAAGACTATTCAGTCAGGTGCAACAAGACGATCAGCTATGAAATTAACACCGATCGTGTACACTTGAGTTGTTTATGTGCATCCCTCTCAAGTTTCGCTCGTCCTGTTTTCTCCAGCTTTTGCAATGTGAACTGTTCGCCGTTGGTATGTACATGAAATTGGTTGCAAGTTGTCGCGGTCATTCGGAAAAACTGATATCTAACTCGTGATTCGTTTCCGCGACCCTCTCCCGCTAGATAAATATCGTACATTTAATTTAAGGGACGTGGGTTATAATGCTTTCTATTGGTCGGTGGTTCAAACTCAGATCCTAGTAACCAATAGTCGTTCAGCCGTAACACCCTTTCAATGCTCAGCCTCTATGCCCCCTCGAAGGGCCAAGGTACTGCCAGATCGCCTGAGTCTGGGCAGGAACAGTCGAGATGCCGGGGTCATGTTTGAACCGAGGACCTTGTGATGAGTTCGTGCCTCTACCACTGAACAAATTCGAACTCAGATTATCGTGTGATTTTGTGTTTCTCCGCCTGATCAAACTTCTACACTCGATGTTGTGCGGTGGAGAGGTTCCCGCGGAAACAGTATCCGTCGATTCCCCAGCTCCATTGCTTCATGAGAACCCGTTTACTGAAGCGTGTGTGACCACGTTTGGTAATATTATGCAAGCTGAATAGTAATGTGGGCATTGACTTACCACATTTGAGGTGTAGCCAGTGTGCTCAACACATCCCATTGCAATAGCAACATTTGCACCAGGATAGACTGAGGAGTTTCCCTACTCATCAGCGTAGGTGCTACCTGCATTTGTTTTACACCCCATCGCAAACCTTTGTCTTCAGATGACGAAACGAGAAGCAGCTCCGCCGTCTGATTTAGGACCATCAATTAAATCATGTAGTGCTTGATTTGATGGTGCCCTTTAAAATACGCCCGACGTGGCAAGATAGCCCACATTTCTGGATGTCTCGATCGGATCGTAGGCACTACCTTGGGCTACTACCTTACCTCGGGCTAAAGGGCAGAAAGGCATCTAAGTTTGCTACAGTTAGTCTGGTTTAGTATGATCAGTCCGTTCAAAGTATACGGTCGGTCAGCGGTAACATCCTTTCGGTGCCTAGCTGCCTTGCCACACGAAGGAGGCATGAGGGCTGGGATACTGCCAGCTTGCCCAAGTCTAGACATGGGAAGTCGAGTGGCAGAGGTCGGGTTCGAACCATGGACCTTCCGGTCAGTAAATTCGCGCTCTTACCACCTGGACCATCTTGATCAAACAATGGGATTCATCTGGCCGGTGCCGTGGACCGGGTCCCCTGCGATAGGGTCTCGACCACACCCAGGTGGAGGTTGTGAGTCTAGATAAACTACTACTATAAGGATTAAAAAGCAAGATTTTGCACGCTGAATATATCGATCTACCTAAATTACTGCCTCGTGTGGGAGAGGAATTTCATGTGCCCTGGTCAAGTCGATCGTGGATTGATGACTTATCGATTATTCACGCATTCATAGGTTCAAAAACCAGTAGGTGTAAGATTCGAGCGGTTACGAATCTCACAGAGCGATTGCGGCTATCTGATTATACGCAGTTCGTAGCCACTAGTCAATAGGACCAGACGAACGTGGGGCAGCAGATGATATATTGAGGACTGACAGGAACTGGTTCTACAGACAAACGGATTAGTAAGCATTATGAATTAAGCAAACGTACAATCAACAATGACGCAATCAGCAGGAGCGGGAAGTAGTCACTGTCAGCACGGATTTCTATAGGGGCGACAACAAGTAAGTACCAAACGATGTAGAAACATACATATAGGGGCAGTCTGACAGTGAGTTGGCCGTGACGGCGCAGGAGTGAGTACGTTCGGAATGTGAGGGACTGTCTTTCGGTCGGCGTCGACGCAGCCGCTCGTGTCGCGCGACAGGTCAGATTACGTGGTTTCTTCCGTTTAAAACAAAGCTCAGCAGAGGCTATCTGGCAGGCGTGATACATGGGTAATACAAAATAATCAGCCGCCCCGTGCGGCGGGTCGATGTGATTGTTGGCGCGTTCGCCTGCCGTCCGGGTTCGATACCCGGTCAGCTCACTTTTCCGTCGGAGTGGGCGCTCAAAATAGGTGCAATCGAGGCGAACTTGCAAGCAATGACAGACGGGCAACAAAATATTGACATCACTTACCGAGGGATAAGCAGACCTTAAGTAGGAACAAAACGGGGGGAAAAGGAGCAGCAAGAAAACGAAACGGTGTCATAATAAACAGGTGTAAGTCATGTTACTAATGAGTAGTCAAAAAACAAGGAAAGTTACCCTTGTTCACCGTTGATTCACAGGGGGAATCAACAGTAGGTATGCCTCAAACTTCGCATTATGTCGTTAGACAGGAGTGGTTCGACATTCCAGTCGTATGTACCACGTGCATGATCTTTGCCACAAGGCGCATTCTTTGCGTGAGTCAACTATGGAAATATTCATTATCTGACCACGATCACCATTCGAGAAGATAGTCTCCCAGGGCGAGATGGCCCAAGTGGTTAGAGCGCGAATTTACTGACCGGAAGGTCCATGGTTCGAATCCGACCGCCACCTCTCGACTTCCCCTGTCTAGGCATGGGCAACCTGGCAGTATCCCAGCCCTCGTGCAACCTTCGGATGGCATGGCAGCTAGACACCGGATGAGTGCTACAACTGAACGCTTTCTATATCCCAGGACTGAGCAGGCGACATTTGGATTTCCTGAGTGGCTTATTTAGTCCCCCCAAGAGAAAGCAATACAATAGGACAACCCAATTGTCATGACCTGCTAAGAAGCGTACGTGGCCCCACAATCTGCCGCTTTTTTGGACTGGATTGCAGATGATGTATTTGGTGAGCGATTTGCTCTTGGATGTATCAATCACTTGATTGAGGCTGACAAATCTGAAGGATGGTAGGAAACGTTGTATGGTGACTGGGCAATTTCCAAATTCCAACCATGTACTGAGTGGAATCGACCGCGAGGTGGACAGTGTATGACCTGGCAACCAAGTGTCAAAACACTAACCAGTAAACTTAATCGGGTGGGAAACTGCCGCCTCCCCGGAACTCAACTCACCAATTGCTATTGACACTGGCGGAAATGGTCCGATCACGCAGTCAGTGGCGCTTATGCATCAAAGCTATCGCCTTCATTGCGTAGCTACCCAATTCACGAACATGTCATCGCCTCCAAGGCTTGGCTGTATGTCCCATTTCCGGTGATCGAAACTGTAGCATCTGAAGCCAGTGTGCTGATGGTACACGGTTCACAGCTGATGAACTGATTGATTGATTGAAATTCCAGCCACTGTTTTTGTTGTTATGGTAGAGTACATCTTTGATGAAGAACAATCACTAGTGACCCCCAAGACAACCACCAACGTATAGCGCTAACATGTTCTTCACGCATATAGGATCTCGTTGAATGTGTGAGGCTTCCACTGAGAAACTTATTTTGAACACCTGAAACAAGTGGAACTTTATTATCTCGGTTCACAAAGTTTTCTGTGGTTAACCGGCCTGAGAGTAGGTTCCTCCTTGACGAGGCTTTCTTTCGAAATCATCATTATTAGTTGTAAGAACCGCGTACTTGTCATACAGTGGTTGGAGCTGCCACAGTTTCTTCAACCGATGCTTCGGGGAGCTACGGTAGGTAGCTGCGCATTGGAGGCGGGAGCTGATAAATTGTTGCGCCAATCCAGCACTGTAAGTGGGGGGGATTGGGAAGGGAGCTATGCATTGAAGGCAATAGCTTGGATGCACGAGCGCCATGTCTGACGATATCTCTAGCCATTCATGTGGCCCTTCTCGGAGTCCCCATCCAGGAAGACGGCAATGACCAGCGCCGCTGCGTTTGTTTGTAGTGGCTTTTATACTTCACTGCCAAGTCACTGCTTTTTTGTAAAGGGGAGTATCGCATTCTGTTTTAGCCAGTTGCTGAACCTGATTACATGCAATGCAGCCAATCTGCTCGAAGTAGTACTTAGGTCCTAATGTGATTAATTTGCCCAAACTGAGGAGAAGCGCCGAGCTAACGAACGTTTTATCAGCAAGTCTTTCCCAGTCATAATCATTAAAGCAACGGATAGCTGGATTACCCCCGATGAGGGGCTCATCAGTGGC